CACATTCGCGGAATCAAGTGAACGCATAAAACAAATGCAGGTCTTTGTTTTATGCGTTTATGTTAAAGTCGATGTAAATAAGCGTGCTACCCTTATGTTTCAACCGAGTTTTTCCTTTAACAAATTTTGTGTCTACCAAATTGGGTTGGTTGGGGTGTAATACTAATAATAAGTGTTGCCTTTAATTTAATCAATAAAATAAATTGACTTCATTAATTTTTTTGAACCACCTCTTAAGAAAATCTAAAAAATATGAATGGAATGATAAATCACAAGTACAAACTCATCATATTTTTTGCATTTTAGATAGGATTTATTCAGCAAAATTTAAGGGTGACGTCATCAATTTTTTTAGGAGGGATGAACAAATACATTTTGAACAAAAGTTTACCATGCTTATAATAACTTTAAAATATTCCCAAGATTTCAAAGCATTCGGTTTTGTAATTCCTGATTAAATCGATAAAATAAATTCACGCCTTCATTAATTTTTTTGAGTCACCCTGCATATGCAAATCCAAAAATATGAATGGAATGATAAATCACAAGTACAGACTCATCATATTTTGTACATTTTAGATACGATTTATTCGGAAAACTTTTGAGCTGACGTCATCAGTTTTTTGTAGAAGATAACCAAATATATTTTGACTAAAAATTTATTATGCTCTTTATAACCTTAAAACATCTGCAAGATTTCAAAGCATTCGGTTTTGTAGTTCCTGATTAAATCAATAAAATAAATTTACGCATTCATTAATTTTTTTGAGTCACTCTGTATATGCAAATCCAAAAAATATGAATGGAGTGATAAATGACAAGTACAGGCTCATCATATTTTGTACATTTTAGATATGATTTATTCGGCAAACTTTCGAGCTGACGTCATCAAGTTTTTGGAGGGGATAAGCAAATATATTTTGACTAAACATTTATTATGCTCTTTATGACCTTAAAACATCTGCAAGATTTCAGAGCATTCGGTTTTGTAGTTCTTGATTAAATCAATAAAATATATTTACGCATTCATTAATTTTTTTGAGTCACCCTGTATATGCAAATCCAAAAAATATTAATGGAGTGATAGTTCACAAGTACAGACTCATCATATTTTGTACATTTTAGATATGATTTATTCCACAAACTTTTGAGCTGACGTCATCAAGTTTTTGGAGGGGATAAGCAAATATTTTTTGACTAAAGATTTATGATGCTCTTTATAGCCTTAAAACATCTGCAACATTTCAAAGCATTCTGGTTAGCAGATTAAAAATTAAATTTCAAAATGTTGTTTTATAATTTTGATTTTTTTTCCAAAAATCTGGACGTTTCGGGTGAAAAGTCGATTCAGAGTTGTAAACTACATGTGTAGGACTATGTTATTTTATACAATTGAAAACCCATTTACTATGTACAATTTTGAAGTGACGTCATCGCTTTAGTGGTGGGGATGATTCGACAAATTTTGGTTAGCGTTTTACCATCTACATGATATTCTTAATATAAGTACAAAATTTCACAACAATCGGTCGAGTACTTTCGGAGATTATCTGTCTAATAAAAATCCGTGACAACAGACGGACAGACGGACAGACGGACAGACGGACGGACAGACGGACAGACGGACAGACGGACAGACGGACAGACAGACGGAAATGGGAGACCTATTTCTTCGTCTTCTAGGGGTCATGAAAGATCGAGAAAACGTAAAAGTAGAGAGTCGGCCGACGGACTCGATTACAATACTTCCTTTGCTTACGCTCGGGAAGTAAAAATCAACAGTTTAATAGGACAAAATAATCGTCATTTGAACTTATGTTTTGTGTATCGAATATTGCTTATTTATCATGTTTTAATAAATACAAAACGTCGAGAAAACATGCAATTTAAAATCCACAAAGTGTTTATATCGTAGGTACTGTGATGTCAACTTGTTCAGTAATTCCAATACAATTTATGTGTACTTCAGATTAGATTACATTTACAACATTTATTTGCAGAAGCACAAATTTTATGGTTGTCATGTTAATGATATTAAAAAATACATTTTACATTTTTTAGGTTCGGGGAAAATATTTCCTGTATGGTGTATGGGACATGTTAAAGAACAAATTCCAAATTCAAAATAAAAGGATAAGTAGCACAGCAAGATAAAGCAACATTGTAACACCTATAATAATAGATAATAGTTTTTGATGAAGACTATTAAAACTCAAGATTACCTTTAATTACACGAGCGACTGAAACGCCGAAATTGTTAACTAGCCATTAATCAACGTGTTAGTTACAATAGTTTTTCGATTTCGGACAATTAAATTTAGGTTATGCAACCAAAAATACATTTTTTGTCCCAATCTGCTTCAAAAACCAAAATTAACCAAATACTTCATTTTATTTTGTTCAGAGTTTTCAGTATAGCCTTCTGCGAAATCTGCACCAGATTTATTGAAACAGAAGCCACTGAAAACAATGTCCGTAATACCGTGTGTTCATTAATTCTTTCAGATACTTTTCATATTATGCAATTAAACAAACACGTGTGTGATGTTGGTCGCATACTGACATAAATTAATTGTTGAAAACTAAAAACAATGGTGAAAGAAAATAACTTCTGCAGATTTGTGAATAACAAGTTTACTTAAAAGACGAAAATAAAGTTAAAGAAACTGTTGAAAATGGTATCTATTCTCCTGTATACATAAATTGACACGTCTTTTTATCCTTTCTTTCAGTTCTTCTATGGTGCGAATGCGAATGGGAGTTTTAAAAATAGTGTTTTTAGATGACCGAACAGAAGGAATCCAGAAGGGTTAAATCTGGTGACCTTGGGGGGTACCCATGAAATGAAAAATCGAAATATCGGAAAATTGTTTAATCAAAAGTTGAAAAATCGAGAAACAGCAATCCCCAAAAATCTAAAATTGGAAAAATGGGTGTATCCAAAATTTTTATTTTCTTTCCAAAATTCTCGATGGATTAAAATTTTATAACGGATTCATGAACCGCAGGACTAAACCATGTTACTTTTTGACATTTAAATAACATTTATTCGACAAAATTGTAAGTTGACATCACCGATTCTTCAGCGTTCTTGAACGGATAAATTTGTGTTGAGGTTGAGATTTCGTCGTTGCAGATTTTATTCACCCTATACCCATATTCCAGAACTGGAGGTCATAGCTTCAAACTGGAAAAGGGGAAATTTCCCTCAATTGTTAGACAATACTGTAACCAACCGAGCCTTTGACTTTTGGAACAAGCTGGTAGAAAAAGTCATCCGAGTGCTACAATTAATATTTTCAAATTAATTCTTTGTTTACAATTTGTTTGAATTAATGGAAACGTTTTAATCTTGTCTATGAAATATGATTATGTTTTTAATGCTTTTTTGCTTAAAATAAAACTTTTTTAATGAAAGTGTTATACTTATTTAATGCTTTTTGCTTTTTCAGTGTATGCAATTAAAGAAACACATGTGTAATATGAGTTGCATACTGAATCAAAAGTTAGCTTTTGCTCATTCAAAACTAGAAGAACTAGTGAAAGAAAATAACTTGTGCAGATTTATGAATAAGTTTATTTAAAAGGCGAAAACAAAATTAAAGAAATTGTTGGAAATGATATGCATTCTCCTGTGTACATAAACTGACAGTCTTTTCATGTTATCAAATACATTTTGTAGTGTAACAGGAGTAAACTTGTCGCTGACGTTGCTGTTCGCCTAAAGTCATTAAATTACTAGTAATTGCCCAATTGCAAAATCGATATTTCTCTACAAATATAAGCTTTCCATTTTAAACATGTTTTAAGTTTCATGTTGCGAAAAGAAGTCTACATATATTAAAACAACAAAGGCAAAATGTAAACAGATGTAGAGATTTTTATAGTGATAAAATTAGTTTTTCGCAAATCAGTGTGATCTATATCTAATATCTCGCATTAAAAACTGTAACGATTTGACGTTTGGACACTTGGTCTAATAAATAAAAAATTTGATTGTTTAAATTGTTATTGAAATATCATCGTGTTATCGAAATCTTGAAAGTAATTATAGCGGTGTGAATAATCTTGATTTCTCAGAATTACACAATACTGAAAATGCCTTCCTAGATAAAGCCGGTCAAAGTCAAAAAATTGGTCGAAGGTTATTTCGACAGAACTCCCTTCGCCTCTGAAACACAATAAAACAAATCCAGATTTTTGGAGAAATTATAAAATGGGATTTTTTTCTAATTCGTCAAAACCTCATAATTTTCAGAAAGGATGACATTGACAAAAAATTAACGGTTGCATTTTCACTAAAAAAAAAAATCATCAATTTAATAGAACAAAATAATCGTCATTTGAATTGAGAAACTGGAAAAGCGGAAAATAGAAAAATCCCGACACTGAAATATCGTAACACTGAATAAGCGAAAATGAAAACCGAGAAATGGAAACATTTAAAAAATCAAAAATTGTGGAATCAAAAGTTGGTAAATTGAGAAACAGAAATGCCGAAAAATCTAAAATTCGGAAAATTGGTATATCCAAAATTTTGATTTTCTTGGCAAAAATTTTGATGGATTAAAATTTTATAACGGATTCATAAACCACAGGGCTATAGTATGTTACTTTTTAACATAAATAACATTCATTCGACGGATAAATTTGTGCTGATGTTTGAGGTTTCGTCGTTGCAGATTTGATTCACCCCATACCCATATTCCAAAACTAAAGGTCATAGTTTCAAAATGGAAAAGGAGAAATTTCACTCAATTGTTAGACAACACTGTAACAAACCGAGCCTTTGACTTTTGGAACAAGCTGGCAGAGAAAGTCATCCAGAGTGCTACAATTAATATTTTCAAATTAAAATTTTTAGTTTATAATTTGTTTGAATTAATGGAAAAGTTTTATTCCTGTCTTATGAACTATTTATTTTCTTATTCTCGTTGCGTTTACTCTAATTCAAACAAAGTCGCACAGGACGATAACGGTCTACTTAAATAAAATTCTAATTTGTTATTAAAGATTTTAATTGCTCAGTCCCACGGGCAGAACAGCGCTTGCTCTCTTTTCATTAATTTTCAGTTATAATAATATAAATAAGGGATAATAATAATAATTATTGCGATAATAGAATTTATGACTCTATCTATGTGAAAGAGTAAATCGCCTAGAACACGATACCAACGTGGATAGGGAAAGACGTCGACATCAGATTTTTCTTGCGTGTTGAGTGTTACCGTTCTACTATCATCTGTCTCCATTGTTGTAGTGGGTGTACCCGTTTTACTATCAACTTTCGGTATAGTGGGTGTTAACGTTTTACTGTTATCTGTCACTTTCGGTGTAGTGGCTGTAACCGTTTCACCATTGTCTGAAACCGTTATAATAATAGTATTTCCAAGTTTATCGTATCCAATTTTGCGGTTCCCATCAGATGAAAAATTCGGTTTAGCTTTAAGTGCATACTTTTGGTTTATTGTAAACGTAGCCGTCGAGCCACCGCGAAAATAAAAAATCATAGTGAAAGGACAGTTTGATGCGAAACGGTTCACTTTGATTATCTCTGTAAGAACGTGCCCTGCTGGTATTGCAGCTCCTTGGAACTTATATTGTGGCCCGTTTTTTCCTACAAAATGGAAATAGTTTACGCCAGTCACAACGGTCGTTATGATGTCTTCTTTTGAAAAATTTTGAATCCTGAGATTCGTTTCTTCGCTCCAAGGAGGCCAAGCAAAGACCGAAACGAAAAAGAAACTGAAGAAAATGTAAAAAAATAACGGTTGCATTTCAACTAAAACAATCATCAACTTAATAGGAAAAAAATAATCGTTAGTAGAACTTACGTCTTGTGTGTTTCACCTACACTTAATATACTGAACTGGTATCCATATCAATCAGTTTGATAATAGTGATTGTATTAATGATCTTAATTTTTATCTTTTGGTAAATTCAGTTTTTTATTTAATTAAAAAGACCTAGGTATTATTAATTAGAATTACTGAGCAGAATTCACAAATTTATCCCATTCTTCAACTAGCTTGAGAATTTCGAAGAGGCATCGAAAAGCATGGATTGATTTACAGTGAATTGATAGCAGATGGAGATAGTTATCAGTTATCACAGAATATGTTTTCGCGAATTGTTATTATGTGTCGTAGCTATAATTTATATAGGAATCACTTTGATTTTTGCGCATGTATTTACGTCAAAAATCAAAAATGTAACCAGTTACTCAGCACTTAAAATTATTTTGGTTGTCATAATTGTTTATGTATTTAAAAATAACGGATGTTTATTTAAAAATTTCATCAAGTTGCCGATAAGTGGAAGAAAGTTCTGTGGGCAGTGTTGGGGACAGATACTTTTAAAAGTATCTAGATACAGATACAGATATATGGAAGATAAAAGTATCTAGATACAGATTGTTTTCGATTTTTTTCGAAATGTATCTAGATACAGATACAAGATACTTTTTGAAGCTTTGGCGAAAAAAATAACTGAAAACATGTTTATGCATTTTTTTATGTACTATTTAATCAATTTTTTAAAATTAACAACATTTCGAATATATTGTTACCTAAACTATTTCTTCTTGGTGTCAGAATTCGGTTTCCTCTACTAAACACCCGTTCGACAGGTGCAGAAGAAGGGATTGTGGTATTAAATTTAAAAAATTGGTCTAAAGAGTTTAGACAGTACTTCCCTCGCTGTCGGAAACTTGACGACTGCATGCCTATTGTGTTTTTTTTTCTCATTACATTTGTGTAGTGGGAATTTAAAAAAAAATTGTAATGACGTCATCAACATTTTTGCAAGGACACGTATATCAGTTGGGATAGATGTAGTGTAATACTAAGAATAAAATTATTGTATTCCCAAATTTTCGGGAAAATGAATTGGGTCGTTTTGAATATTGATTTTTTATAATCAATAAAATAACGAAACAATTTACTCACGTATACGGCGCCGGTGTGTAATATCTAGAAAGCGGATTTCTGTCGGGCTAGGCAAGGCCAAACTCGGTACGGCTCGTACGGGATGCGAATTCATTGCGGTTGCGGACTGCACTTCGTTTATTTGAGATTAGAATAACGCTGTTTCGTTGCACTCTGCTGTTAATTCCCGTTCTCATTTACTTAGCCGTTTGATTAATAAATCGTTAATTATATTTATGGAATTAGTACGGATTAAATTCGGTGATTATCTATCACCCGGCGATCCAGCACGTCCCCCCCTATAATCGTGACGTAGCCCGACAGAAATCCGCTGTCTAGTAATATGAGGGGCAACTGAAAATCGTTTATGTATAAACATTCTTAATTTAAGATGACAAGCGTAACAGCATACGTGAGAGTCAAACAGAGAAACTGTAAACAAAACGACCATCGGTTTTATTGCTTCGACTTCCGCTTATTATATAAAACATTGGGTTTTATTTTAATTCTTGACGGTGAAATTCACAATTGGTTGATTATAAACATGTCTATTCCACATTCGCGGAACCAAGTGAGCGCATAAAACAAATGCAGGTCTGTAATGTTAAAGTCGATGTAAATAAGCGTGCTACCCTTATGTTTCAACCGAGTTTTTCCTTTAACAAATTTTGTGTCTACCAAATTGGGTTGGTTGGGGTGTAATACTAATAATAAGTGTTGCCTTTAATTTAATCAATAAAATAAATTGACTTCATTAATTTTTTTGAACCACCTCTTAAGAAAATCTAAAAAATATGAATGGAATGATAAATCACAAGTACAAACTCATCATATTTTTTGCATTTTAGATAGGATTTATTCAGCAAAATTTAAGGGTGACGTCATCAATTTTTTTAGGAGGGATGAACAAATACATTTTGAACAAAAGTTTACCATGCTTATAATAACTTTAAAATATTCCCAAGATTTCAAAGCATTCGGTTTTGTAATTCCTGATTAAATCGATAAAATAAATTCACGCATTCATTAATTTTTTTGAGTCACCCTGCATATGCAAATCCAAAAATATGAATGGAATGATAAATCACAAGTACAGACTCATCATATTTTGTACATTTTAGATACGATTTATTCGGCAAATTTTTGAGCTGACGTCATCAGTTTTTTGTAGAAGATAACCAAATATATTTTGACTAAAACTTTATTATGCTCTTTATAACCTTAAAACATCTGCAAGATTTCAAAGCATTCGGTTTTGTAGTTCCTGATTAAATCAATAAAATAAATTTACGCATTCATTAATTTTTTTGAGTCACCCTGTATATGCAAATCGAAAAAATTTGAATGGAATGATAAATCACCAGAAGAGACTCACCATATTTTGTACATTTTAGATAGGATTTATTCAGCAAAATTTTGTGGTGGCGTCATAAATTTTTTAGGGCGGACGACCAAATACATTTTGATCAAAAATTTACCATGCTTATGATAATTTTAAAATATCTTCAAGATTTCGAAGCATTCGGTTTTGTAGTTCCTGAGTAAATCAGTAAAATAAATTTACGCTTTCATTTATTTTTTGAATCACCCTGTATATGCAAATCCAAAAAATATGAATGGAGTGATAGATCACAAGTACAGACTGATCATATTTATTTATAGGCCTCCGTCGGGTGATCTGAAATTGTTCATAGACTTACTTATGAAGTTATTTAATGTCCTTGATTACAAAACCAAACACATAATAATGGGTGGAGACTTCAACATACACTTTGAGAAGGGTAATGATTGGTCTACTCACATATTAATTGATACGTTTCACAGCTTTAACATGTACCCTTTGGTTAAATTTTTTACACGTGGCAAGGCTCGACTCGATAATGTATTCACAAATATAGATACTAATTTAATTACTGTGGAACCTATGAATTTAGGTGTTTCTGATCATACTGGAGTTGTAGTAGATATAAAAAATATAGTTCCCTGCAACAGTAAATCCTCTAAAATTATTAAGATTTCCAGACCCATCACAAACGTTGGCAAATTAAATTTTTTTCAATATCTTGATAATATAGATTGGTCTTTTGTGGAAGGGGATTTAGAGGTGCAGGAGAAATTTAATTTCTTCTTAAACATTATCATGTATTTCTTTAACTTGTGTTTTCCTATTAGAAGAACTCTTATTAAAAAGAGATATAATATTCTATGTAATAATTGGTTTAATTCAAATCTGAAGCAAATGCGAGGAACGCTAAAATTAATAAATGATGCTTATCGATTACATGAACCATTAGAACTAAAGAAAACGCTTTCACAATTTAAGAAAAAATATAATCTGGCCATTAGGGAGGCTAAAATAAAAACTAATGACAAATTTATAGTAGACAATAGAGCTAATCCAAGAATTCTGTGGAACATTGTAAATAGTCGTCGATCTAATCAGACTTCTAACTCTAATAGCAAATGTGAAATATCCGCAAATGAATTTAATGCCTTTTTTTCTACAATAGCAAATGAAACTATAAAAAAATTACCACCTCCGAAATTCGACCCCATTCGTATAATGGAGTCAAACACTGTCAATGATAAAAATATATTTAAGTTTCGAAATGCTTCTCAGATGGAAGTACGGAATGCCATAAACAGCTTAAAAAATAATAATTCGAAAGATATCTATGGTTTATCCATGCAACTTATAAAATGTGTTAAAGAAACTTTAATCTATCCACTCACAAAACTCATAAACCAGTGTATTGCCAACCAAGTTTTTCCTAAATGCTTAAAAATTGCATCTGTATTGCCTGTATATAAAAAGGGGAACATTAATGATAAAAACAATTACAGACCGATTTCTTTATTACCAATTTTTTCGAAAGTATTTGAAAAAATCCTATTTTGGCAAATTTTGGAATTTTTAGAAACAAAAAAAATATTATCCGAAATGCAGTTTGGCTTCAGAAAAGGTGTTTCAACCATTACAGCTGTCATAAGTCTTGTGAGCAGAATGGTGGAGTGCTTTGAAAAAAAGAAAACATACATTAGTTATTTTTTGGATTTAAGCAAAGCTTTCGATTGCGTACCTCATGATATTTTGATAAGAAAGTTATTTTATTATGATTTCCACCCTGAAAGTACAAAATTGATATTATCTTATTTGACTGATAGATGGCAATATGTCAGAAGAGATGATCAATTATCTGACGGTTATAAAATCACATATGGAGTTCCACAAGGATCGATATTAGGACCAGTTTTGTTTCTACTTTATATCAATGATTTGCCTGAATTTTTGTCAAACGTGAATGTAACATTGTATGCAGATGACACTACAATAAGTACATCAGGCTCAACTAGTGAGAGCATAAATAGTAAAAAACGTGAAATGTTTTCCAAGGCTCAAGACTGGTTCACTGTAAACAAATTAACTCTCAATAAAACCAAGACACAAGACTTAAAATTTTCAGTAAAACCTAAGACAGAATCAGATCAGGTCACCGTAAAATATCTTGGCATACACATCGACTCACAGCTTACTTGGATAAAACATGGTGAAGAAACTGCCTTAAAAATTGCCAAAAATATCTATTTGTTACGCAATTTATCTAATGTCCTTTCTTTAAAGTATTTAAGAATAGTATACTTTTCCTTAATACATTGTCACCTACAATATGGAATCTTAATATGGGGACACTCAAGTGCAAGAACACGGTTATTCAAATTACAAAGAAAGGCCATCAGAATAATTTCGAATATAGGATATAGAGACGACTGTCGAAACCATTTTATAAGGCTAGACATCTTAACGCTTCCATCTCTCTACATACTTAAATGTATTGAGCATATCGTTAACAACATCAAGTCTTATCCAAAGCTGAATGATTTTCACAATCACCAAACAAGAACACAAGATCTAAGCTATAAATATTTGAGATTAACGAGATCACAAGATGGTGTGAATTATTTTT